ACGGTTAGATCTTTAAAGTCTTCTAATTCGTCTAGAAATTAAGTCTAAGCAATTCTAAGTGGATTAGTAAAGTTCTCCACCTTGCAATATTCTACAGTGACCTTTTGATAGTAGGGACAAATAATACTATTCAAGTTGGCTTGTGGGGACATAATCAATATTGGTACTCATTTGATGCAGTCATTATAAAGGAACGGGTGATGAGGGGACGTGGCTAGGAGCGCAGTCCGTGCCGCCTTTTCCACCAAGTGTGCCGTTCTAAACAATTGGTGGGAAAGGTCTTCCCGGCTGATGATCCCTGCCCTTTCACACGCCCTCACGCCTACAGGGAAAATAGCTGTATGGAGGCAGTTCGGCGACAGTAGAGGGGGGGGGGGATTTTGCACTTTTGCTACTTCCCATCGACGTGTCGACCCATCTAGAGAGCTATTTCATGAGCTTGCGAGAGTTGACAGGTTTACTATGCTGGCTCGACGAGCTTGCTCCAGCTTCACAAGATGTCGCAGGTTACACCAGAGTGAGACTTGTAAACCGGAACTAGTGAAGCAGCGAAAAGCACAATGCTCCTCCCCCCCCCCCTTGCTTAACCGCGCCAACTGTACGTTATGGAAACAGACGACCTAAAGGTGGCGCTTCGAACGGTCGGCAAAGTCGTTCCAAACCGTAGGATTTTTCCCAGCCGCGGGAGAGCCGGCTTGTTGGCGGAAGTTCACACTAGATGCATGGGGAACCAGTCCCAGTGTCGACTACCCTTAGGCGTGCCTTTCCTGCCGCACTGTCCGCGCTAATAGGCGCAGCCCACAAAGAGCTTTCTGCCTTGATCAGCCCTATTTTGGAACGCGCCATGCCTTCCACCTCGTTCTGGGATCCCTGCCGATGTAATGTCTCCATTGTTCTAGCCGACGTAGGATTAGTATTTACCTTTCAAAATCCCTGATACCCACTAACCAACCATGCTGGAAAGCGTTGGAGACATATGGCATGTCAAAGGCAGTGGACACGATGGCTCAGTGAGAGTGGTTACGGCCAATGTCATTGGTGGAAAGGCGGAAAGGGGTGTGGCCAAACGTCCTTCCCAGCCCTTCCACCAATGACACTGGCAGAAACCACCCACCCCCAGACATCGTGTCTATCTCCGTCGAGGGTATCAATCATCTCTGATCCTTTCAGTCCATACATCAGTTTGAGATGCAGCAGTTATTCTTGGAAGAAAAAAGGTTAACATTGGCAGTGTCCCGCAGAAGTGTTCCTTCCTTGACTCATAGTTTCACCGAGTACTGACAGGATACACTGTAAAGAGAAGGAATCTGACATTGCAATTAACAGCTGAAAATAAAAATCAAAATAAAAACATCAAGTACAAATTATAGGCCGTGTTCCATCGTCATGTTGTAATGCCCACGGAAAAGAAACATATCCAACGAATTGTGGCGTCTCATTCACACATGCTCCATTAGAGACGTACACGGAATTCCTTCACGATAAGGTAATGCTTCCGAACAGATCACAAGATTTTGAGAACCAGTATTTCAAATTTGTTCGGTCCAAAATCTCAGGGATTGTCTCCTCTTGAAGCGCCATTGTTAACAAGGTTCAATGTATATGAGCACAGAAAGGTTTACTATTTTGCCTCCCTCTATGATGTGCTCCTTGCCTTTGAGACGGTAAGGAGGTGCGTGCTAGTGACGCTAGCGAAGTGGTCGGCCTGAGTCCGCCCACACGGCCAGCATAAATTGAGCTATTGAATTCACAATCTATGTTTGTTGCTCAACTCTGATCTTGTAAACAGCACCTTGGAAGCTGATCCTTGGTGCGTCCCTGACGGCAGCGCCCACTAGCGATCAGTATCGCCCACCAGCGTTCTGAGCGTCTGGCAGCATCAGCGATTAGGAAAGTATAGATATCGATCCAACGTCTGGCAGCGTTCGAAAGCATCTGCCAGCGACCAGCAGCGTACAGTATTAGAGAGTATGGGAAAGATAGGACGGTGGCAGACAGCTGGTAGAGTATGGGGCGATAGGATTGTACGGACAGCTGGTTCCCTTTTATTGCCCCATACTCTCTACCAGCAGTCCGCCATCCTCCTGACTCCCCATACCCTACCAGCTGTCTTCTACCGTACTATTGCCCTGTACTCTCTACCAGCTGTCCGCTACCCCTATCGTCGCATGCTCGTGCAGCAGTATGCTACCCTCCGATCTCCCCATACTCTACCAGCTGTCTGGCTACCTCTCCTAATGGCCTACACACAAGTCCCCCGGACGGTGTTGGTCGCTGTAGCCGCTGCAGACGTTAGGGCAAGACTCTGGCGACCTACGATCGGTATCTATACTTTCATAGGTACTGATCGGCTGCGCACGCGTCGCCAGCTGGAGGACGCTGGCCCGCAAGAGTGTTAAATGCAGCCTAATAAAGAAGAGCGAAGGACAGTGTAGAAGCTGACCCACCCATACGTCAGTATAGGCTCTGCTATTAGCCCATTCATCTTTAATTCTATTTTTACAGGGATGCGCCGACTCACTTTACGACAAGATCAACAGCCATTTGAATTACATCATTACTGTTTGTGTGGCTATTGGCGCTCTCCAGGTAATTTTTTTGTCTCCCTACTTTCATTTCCGATTCTCACCTGCAAAACTGAGTTGGGAATTGCTACGAGGAGATTAGATTGCGGTAGGAAGATCCGAGGTGGACCCTCTACCATCTGTGCAGCTGTGATATTTGGTGCCCAGAGAAAGTTTATGAGTATTAAAGAGCGCAAAATATCCTGGGACTTGCGGCCACCATCGAACTATTGCTGGTATGTCGTATCCGATTTGCAAACTTGTCATTTCAGATAAAAGTAATAGGTGCGTTGTCCTAGGCAATTTTAGCGTATTCTAACGTTGCTGGTTAGTATGAGATCGTTGGGCCACACTCATAGCGATGGGAAACTCGGCTCAATGCCCTTTCACCCAGATCCCCATCAATAGCGAATGATAAGCGGGCAAGCGAGGAACCGAAAAAAAAACATGAAAGTGAAGAAACTTCATGAAGAAAATAAATGAAAAATCACGCGGTGCACATTGCATGAGGTCTTCGAAACCTATGGGCCCTTCTAGCTATTAGAGACGCATCTGCTAGCATGGAGGAAGCATTACGTAAAGGACGCTTTTTCACCGTGGAAGTGGAATGCATGGCGCATACAGCAATAAAGCCAATCGGCGCCGCCAAACCATTTCCTATTCCCGTTCGACAAGAATGCATTCTGGAAACAGTTGAAGTTTTTTAACGGATTCCATGGCAATGATCGAGGAGAAATGGGGTTTTCAAGTGGCTCGCAATTTGCTCCATCACAACCCCATCGGAAATACCTCGGGCTGAAGAGCCTCAAGATAAAGTGTGGCACAGATAAAAAATGAAAACCATTTCCTTTTCAAATGTGCTCTTTATTTTGCAAATGGCCTTACATGAAGGAAATTGCTAACTGATGGTCACTAAAAATTTTATACTTCGGTTTTCTGTTATCACCACCGAATTCCCGTCGGAGATATTATCAAATAAAATTATGCATTTGAAATAGTTCCATGCATGAATCTATTTCCTCACTTTCAACAAAAATGCTGTCATTTTTCCAAGAAAGGCTACTTCCCAACTTTCTTGTAACTTCTTACATGAACCCTCCAGCCTAAAAGACACCATATGCAGTGCGACCATAGTATCATATCATATCAATATCACAGCGCGGAACTTATGTTGTCCTTGAGGGGGTTATACAAAGCCTTTTTTGGAGAGATCTTCTGACTCGTCTATTCCCTCCTTCACTATGATGTACTTTCTTTGTAGCGTCTATGCGCCATGACGATCGTACTGTTGTTACACTACCTGCCAACACAGCCACTGCCTTTGGAGCCACGTTCGCGATAATCGCATAGGCGGAGACTCGCAATCACTATGCCTTCCTCATTATTAGGTCCCTTGGCGCAGCTCTCCCTTGGCGCAGCTCTGCTGGAAGGGAAGGGGGCATTTTGCGCTTTGCTACTTCCCGTTGCTGTATCGAGTCATCGAGTAGAGATCTTTGGAATCCTGTGAAGCTGTAAAGCGATAGCAGTTGCAGTTTGTAGCGACCATTCGTCAATTCTTGTGAAGGGCAAAATGAACCCTCCCCCACCCGAACTGCGCCAGTACGCTCTCTAGTGTGGTAGAGAAGAGATGCGGACCCAGGGAGGGGCACAATGGTTTCTTATCTCCGCCCATCAATTATCGCGGAATATGTCATTGCGTGTGGAGCATTACGTCTGAGTTGAGGGAGAGCAGGCGTTGCAAGAGAGGGTGGGGGACCTACGCATTATTCGCGCCAGGACCCTATCCATTAAGTGTGTACTGCGGCGCGTCAACTCTCTCTCTCCGCGTCTCTCAAGTCAACTAGCTCTATCTATGCCTATCTCTGCCAACTAGTATGAAAGATGGCAGTGCGCGTGACATCGCGATTCGGAAGGAACGCCCCACACTCTAAGTGAAGCGCTACATAACTGGTTGTTGGTTATCACGAGTAACGTTGCAGTTATTCGGAGCGGTGGCACAAGGGGTGGGGGAGAGGGTATCGGCTTCCCTCCGGGTGCCTTCTCTACCAATGGTGATCAGTTAGCGATCGAATTAGGTCGAATACAACCAATCGTGGAAACGCTACGAGTGGGCTACCTTCACCTCCATCTCATCTTGCAACCACCCCACCTGATTGCGGCGTTATTGACTGTAATTGATTGATCACCATAGAAAGGTATTAAAACTTACACTAAATTCAATGCAACGAATAAAGTTGTCTTTTCAGTTGCTGGGCATGGTTCTCGCAATGATCCTATGCTGTTGTATCAACACGGATAACAAGAAATACGATTATTGATTGCTCAATTTTATCACATGTCGTCAATGTTCACGTCATAACGGAACAACGAAATGCGTTCACATCAAAGGCCGGACCATTCCATCAGTATAAGGCCATTTTTTGTAGATACAGATCTGATAGAGTTTCGTATAGTTTCACTCAATCAATTTGAACGAGTTCTTTAAAGAGGAATAATGAAACTTTATTGTTTTATGACACGCAAAGGCACATATCATGAAACGAATGTTATGTAGAAAGACAACAACAAAGCCGGGATACCTTGATATAAAAAACACGTGAAAATTTGTGTGAAGTGACTTAAATTTAACCCACAATTAGTGATCCTGTCTTGAGCTTATCGGGTCATTATATATACACTCTTTAGTTACAGGCACTGTTACTGAATTTTGAGAGTAGGAACATTAAATACCACAAATTATGCAAATCCAAGACGACGAGATACTTAATCATAAAAAGCAGATCAAAATTTGCAAAAAATGCTAAAAAAATACTCTCATAGATAGCATGTCCTTCAATATTCTCATCACATAGATTCTAAATTACATGCCTCTGAACATTAGAATAGATGCCCACTCACCCATAATACAGTTGATAATTACGTAAAATTACATACAATAGGCTAAAAATTTAAAAATTCACAAGGAATAAGGCTACTGTAGAAAACACAAAGATGTTTTCCACGGTCAGAAAAGAAAAACGACAAGTATCCAGGCTGGACTACAAACGTAATGATACTCTAATTACCGAAAAATAAACCCTTGAAGGCATAGGGCACGATCGCTGTGGGCGGGCGGTTGTTGCCAACGCCATTGGTTGGAGGGGTCGAGAGAGCGTTTCGCCACACCCCACTCAGCCCCTCGACCAATGACCTTGGCGGCAACCGCAGGCCCACAGCGATCGTGCCCAATAAGTCAAAAAAAACTCAGTTTTGGCATGAACTTGGTTTTTGGTACTTCCGAAGCTCGTCGTCCAAACTACACTTCTCTAGGCAACTTTTCTGTTGAACAATATCATAAAATTCTGCTGGCCCATAGTTAGCAGCTATGCATTGAAAGAGCCTTTCCACCCGGCAACAAATCATTGGACAACGGTGGCGTGCGAGATTGGGGGTGGGGGGGGGAAGGAATTCAGACATATGTCTGCTTGTCTGCGCCTCTCATCGAGATGACGTCCAGAATACAATCGCGTTGGTCCAGAATGCAACACATGTCCACAATGACTATATGCCCATCCCAGGGGTTCTGTTCCCTGGAGCCGTGAGTAAATAGTGGCGCGACAAGAAATTATCTGAGATAGTGATGCACCCGCGCACCCCCCTCTTTGAACTGCCTTCTTTCCCAGGCCATTAGCTTTGAAGACAGTGGGCACGATCGCTAGAGGTATGGGCGGTTGTTGCAAACGCCATTGGTGGAAGAGCTGCGAGAGGGCGTTGGCCGCGTTCCACTCACTCTTCCACCAGTGACGTTGGCGACAACCGCCCGCCCCCAGCCATTATGTCCACTGCCTTTGAAACCTTCGTTCAATTATATTCATAGATCCACGGGACCCAAAGGAAGACAGCGCAACGGGAAATTACCCAAAAATGGCCTAACAGACTGATGGTGCAACATGAATTGATCCTAATAAGATAACCAACTGTTCGCAACTTATCGTTTCCATAAATACCGTTAGCTTTCAGCAATCTTCCAAATGGGCAGGCGAAACCGTACAAAAATAGAGTTGATGGCAGTGGTGATGGGCATATGAAACTGGGTTGTTTCTATTTTTCAGGGAGGGAGGAGGGTTATACAGGTGTAAAAAAATAGAAAATGGGTTCTAAAAATGGTTAACATGATAAATGCAGACAAATTTAATACAGTCAAGCAGAGTCATTTAATCTAGTCCTTAAAAAAGGGATATAACTTCTAAGGGTAGTTTTACGATTATTACGATTCTCTGAGTTATCCGGTGCTTGTAGAACACCCAACTGCGCCGGTGTAAGAAGACAAAGTGCTGAAGCTACCGCAAGACCTGATGTACCATTTGGCGTTGTTGCGCGACCTCCTGTTGGTAATCGTACGGCAAGTGTGAAAATACCCGACTTGTAGTTACTGCAAGGTTCCACGGAAAGAGGTGTAGGCCCTTGGACAGCGCCCGGTGCCTGAAACTCTAACATTGAGATCAAATATGGTAAAAACAAGAAGGAGAGATTCAGGATACTGCATGTACGCTTCAAAACATTGATTTTATCCCGCTTTCTCAGAAGCAAAGCCTTGTTCGCAGCGGGAGGCGTGTCAAGCGGCATGGGTTTGGCGTGCTGTCATACCCTTTGTCCACCAACAATGACAAGACTGTATCATATCGTTCGTATCAGTCGTTTTCCACCAACTGTTGACGGTCAAAACCCATGCAGCCTGACAAGTCTCTTCATCTGCAGCGAACAAGACTGTACGAGGATTATCTATTACTAGCCAGACCCTAGTTGTTAGGTAGTTTTGTCACAATCATTGGACTTTTACATAAGGTCTTGTTGGCCGCGGATGATGGGGCGTGTCATGGGGACGCTTTTGGCGCAGTGCCAGCCCTTTTCTTTTTTTATTCCGCGAGGTGTCAATACTACATCATATCGTTCGTACCAGTTGTTTTTCTCCAATTGTTGTCCCTTACTTGCTTTACTAAGTGGGGAAGAACGGCCTCGCGACGCACGAAACCCACCCCACTGACACGCCCTATCCGATCCCTGCGCAGCATTCGTTCCTCTAAAGACAGATACCGCGATCACTTGGTAGCTAGTATCCCTTACTTGTACAAGCAGTTTATTCCGCAATCTCAGGGATTGCCCGCATTTGTAGCTTCACAGTGAGTAGCGAGGGTACTGCGGCCATCATTATCCAATAGGAAATCACCCGTAGAATTTACGACCGTAACAGTTAGGAACTACACGTGGACGCATCGCCTGTTACTCCCAACTTTGACGGGTCTTCTCTTCCTCCGCTCGATTTATAAGTCTTTCATCCCTGTTTCTGGTCTCCGGTTACTCATAATGTGCCTCGCTCTTTTTGTCGTTGGCGATGTATTGGCCTCATTTATGGTGTCTTCGACAGATTTGTCTACTCTCTTTCCCCTCACTGGTAAGTGAATTAATATCTAACAATCTCATCCGGTACACCTAACTCTTGCGCAGGTGAAAGCTTGGAATCAACATTAGCCAGTGCTAATATCAGGCCTCCTATGGTCTACTTTCGTTTTCTAACTACATGGTATGGTATGGCGTGATCCCATACGTAATCTTGAAAGCAGCTCAGCAACGCTTCAAGTATTTAATATCTAACACGTTAATAATAAGATAGCAGGACCAGAAACCTACCGCTAGGCAGTGTGCGCTTAGTCGTTCAGTTTGACACCGAGCGAGAGTGTGGGCCGGAGGGGGGGGGGGGTGGATGTGGTCCAGTCTAGGGAGTAGGTTGTGAGGGGTAACGCTGATAACGATCTTGGTAGTTTAGTGGATAGAATGTGGCCGATTCGCTGCCTTACCGCTCGACCAGGCTTATTAGCGAATGACACGATATGAAGAGCGAGGTGGCACAGATTAACTAGTCTGGCGCTCCGGCAGGTGCGAGATGGGGAAGTATTCGGGAGGGGATGCGCCAGCAGAAATACGTGAGTTCTCGTATTGTTCTTATTTTCGCCATTAAGGACGGTCCGGTTGACAAAGATCGTCTGGTATTCTGTTTTCGCGTTAGCGGCAGGGGACTTTTAAAGTTGACAGCCGACACCATACTACTCTGCTAAGCCCGTCTTGCTCTGTATATTTTTATTTTATTTGTTCTTTATTAGAATGTCCATCTGCGTCAGAAGTATCGACATGCGAAGGACTGTTGACCAGAGTTATTTCATCAGAGCATAAGGGGTTGGGTGGATGTACGGAACAGGAGTAAACATACTTACATGCTCGATTCATCATTACTCGTTGATTTCTTCGACTACACCTCAACCGCCGATTTAAATATTCCACAAGGTTATAACCGCTACAACCCAAGAAAGCCGCTGAAAACAGCTAGCGCCCTTTCATGTAGCGCTCACCGGAATGGGATAATGGCAACCTAGGAAGTAATATCCGCTGCGCAAATAATCACAAAGGGGCAACACCCAGTTAATAGGAGCGTTGATGTCGCAAACGATTACTTGAATTGTAATTGTGTGGTGAATTGATACTCGCACCTGAAAAAAGGCAAATCCAATCGTACTGCCCATGGACAGCTATTGTTACTTTTACAAAGGATCACTATTACATGTTCTTTACTTGAGCTCTCTTGGGGAAGAAACTTTCTTTGACTTCATTTTAGGGAAAGTGAGGAATCAACGAGATCTCTAGAGTATGTCTCTATGCGTAAACGATACTCTGCCCAATTAGAACTTACGAAAGTGGTGGCGATCGTTCCGTAGGCATAATTCGGACGATCTTGAGAGCCCGACATAAACTCGACGGAAGCCTTTCGAGTCACAAGTAGTATTTAGCTGTAATTTACTATTTAGCTGTAATTCACAATACTATCTAGGAGCTGAAACTAAAGGGTGAGCGTTCTTAATGGCATTAGCATTTCAACAATGAAGGCACACTCCAGGCCGCTCATATGGGCCCAGGCAGAGAATCACTGTACAGTATTGCTCGCTGCGAATGATAGGGCGTGTCAAGGAGGCTGAGTCTGGCGCGCCGCCAGCCCACTTTCCAACGGTTGTCGAAGCGTCTTGCAACAACACCTGGTAGAGTACAACTGATATGAACGATATGACACAGCCTTCTCGCTTGCTCGCCTCCGAACAAGTCTGCATCTTCCTCACTGGCCCGCCTCTCCTCTTCAGCGTCTTAAAAGAAGAGCGCACCAATGAGAAAGACACAACAGATCTCCATCTCCGCCCACACAAACAGCGCGCTTTTAAGATGAAAATATCATCAGTCACTAAAATACTGAAGACATGGACGCGGGGAAAAACTTCGATGTCACTAACCATCATTCTTCTGGGAGTTGACTCGAACAAAGAAGAAGTGATATTCAACGCCACGTTTGCTTGGGATCCTCCATCACAACTGATTTGAAAGGTAACATCCGTATCCTTCTGAAGTACAAAAGTCAGCGTTTTGAAAACTGATAACTTGACAGCAATTTGTACAAATTCCTAAACGTTTTCAGTAGTTCTAATACTCAAAACTAATGTGGAAAACAACTGACTGAACAAATTAAAACAGTAACCACTCAGCTATAGAGCAAAGAGTAGTTGCAAAGTTGATTTCTACGCTCACCTTATGAGGAATACTGAACAGATAGATTTCAGTGGCATGCTTATCCTTATCCTCGTTCTTCAGCTTGAACGTAAAAATGAAGTCAACGCTGAGTTCGTCTGGAAAGACCATATAGAATCTGCCATAGACGAGTTTCTTAGGATAATAGTGAAAGGCGCAGTAGTCGCTGGACTGATAGTAAAAGCGGGGAGGCATCATCAGCGTCATCGGTGAAGGAGTGCCAAACCACAACCCCCAATACGCTGGAGAATATGGCTCATCCTCGTTCTACCAATGGCAATGGCCTCGCCTCACCGCCCTTTTCCCGGCATGGATTGCGTTTTGAGCCTCAGCAATCTAGTCTTGACACCACTGGTTTAATGCCATAGCTGTGTCGACTCAACTAGTTGCAAGTACTCACTGGCTCGCGCGGATGATGCGCCTCGCTCTCTCGAATTTCGAGCTACATCTGAACTGGTATAGGAATAAGTAAACTCACAGTAGCAAGGAGTTCCATTCTTCGGCTGTCCATAATATTTCTGATCACAGCGGTCGCAACTAGCTCCACTGACACCTTTTGTTCTGCAGTGACAAGAGCCCGTGATATGATCACAGGTGTCCGCCTGTCCGTTACATTGGCAAGCTGCAATGAATCAGTAAAATGACTTTTTGCAGCGCCTTCTGTAAAACTGGACCAAAATTGATAGAAAAATGTTTTTAAAAATGAAACCAATGTTTGGAGGAACCGGATGTCATTGAACAACTAAGACGAAGATGATGAACTGATAGAAATGTAAGAATGCATTCATACTTTGCGTGGGCGTTGCAAGCGTGCGGCAGCGTTTTAAGCGACTGGGAAAGAATAGGTATCGATCAAAAAGCTTGAAACGCTAGGTCGATACGTATATCTCCTAGTCGTTTAAACGCTGGCGCACGATCAAAATGCCAGAACAATACCTTTACTTCCCTAGTCGCTCACAACGCTGACGCATAGTATGAACGCCTCCAGGAGAAGTTCCATCAAATTCTCTTAAGCAATAATAAACTTTCACCTGCACAATTGTCTCCATTCCGTGGGTCGCCATGATATCCAGGAGCACAAATTTCACAATGCTTTCCCATAGTATTATTTTGGCATTCACCGCAAACTTCCTGGACACCACCAAGGGTGTGGCGAGTCTCGTTGCACATCGAATGCCCATTACACTGGCACGCTGGAAAAAATTTTGACTGAATTTGAATAGTGTAGTTTAAATTAACACGTTTGAAGTAAACTATGTGTCATTAAATGTTAGCTATCGGCAAAACCGCTGATATTTTCCAATGCTTCTGGAGAAGAAAAAACGATACTAAATATGCCGGTACTAGAAGGATTGCTGTCCTAATAGATTTGTTTTTTTTTACATTTTATTAATTTCACAACATGAACCCCGCTTTGTAAACCACAATAAAACTATGCCAAAGTCTCCTGGAGTGATAGCGAATGGGCTAAAAATCTGGGATGCCACTGGGCGAGTAAATAGCTGCACATACCTGGACAATCAGTGAAGTACCACTGATGAGGATGAAAATCTGGAGAACGCTCCAGTGGACCACGTGCTGATCCTCGAGTGCATGTTCCAAGTCCTGTACGTGAGCCATCATCGAGCCATCCACATTCTGGGGACAGCTGGCACTCGGCACACGTCTTGTGCGAAGAACAATTCGACGACTCTTAAAACATGCTACATTTTGTGGCGCCAGCGAATACGGTAGCGGTGCGATCTCGCGAAGGCAAGCGTCGACGCGCTGTAACGCGCTACAACTGCAACATCGCTCAAAGGCTATAGACACGAATGCACCCACAGGCAGGAATCGATCGACGCTGGGTGCTCATGTATTGGGAGTATGGTGATTGTTGCCCAATCAGGCAGTCTAGTATCGATCGGCAATGGCCATTAGAGCAGCGCCGGCAGCGCCGATCGATTCCTGTCTGCGGCTGATTTCGCTTCTACAGGATTGGAGCGCTGCTGCAATTTTAGCGCGTCGACGCGCGCTATCGCGAAGCCTGAGCCCTGCACAGTCGCGACATCAACATATATAGAATGGAAAACAAAACTCGGAACAAGACAAAGTAATTTTGACACAGTTTACAACGTAAGACAAAATCACCAGAAAGTGCGCGACTTTGGCTTTCACTGATTTTTTTTCGCAGCTGCACACGACTATGTGCAATCTACCATCACAACGCGTTTAGTTTGAGAAGCGAAACTTTTGAAAAAATATTCAGAAAGCGAGATAGCAGTGGTAAAAACATTGAACCTACCTATCCTACAAGATTTGGAGAAAGCAAAACCATGAGCATGACCAGCAACCCATGAGTGACATTGGCCGTAGGCGAAGGATAGAGCGTACGCCTCCATATTAATACATCTTAAAACTGATTTATAAACAAAGCAAAACGAAAGAACTCAAATTCTGTCTCTAGTGGGGAACTAACCTGCTAGTACTTGGACACCACATGCATTTCTGTTCTTGTAGACATTCACCGCATGTGTGCAATGACGAACACGGTAGAGGACAGTATGAGAGATTCTGACCAGGAGGAATCGGCGGCGGCGTAGTGGGTAATCGTAGAGGTAGACTGGAGGAAGCGACGCGGTCCAATTCACGATCCAGCTGCTCTTTTCTCAGTAGTACTGTAAATGAAGAAATAAGTACTGCATCACATATTCTAAAGTCCTGCAGCGAAACTCGGTGGTGCAGACATATAGAGGGCAGTTCTTGCTAAAATGTCTGAGAACAGACAACTGCGACCATGAGAATGCTGAATAGCAACCTACTAAGTCGATTACAAGAGACAAGTGCGCGCTGGGTGAGAACGTTCGAAAGCGATGGAGCCT